CAGAGATTAAAGATCTGTTCCAGCTGACAAGTAAGATCAACCAGTGAACATGGAATACTCTCCAGAAAATAGCATAGCTGTGTTTAACTCTTTTGCTGTCATTTTATTTGCATATATAGCATCCTCCTAGTTGGGTTGTGTTCAGGTAAATGTGGTTGTTGGCTTCCCTGTAGCAGGGGAGCAGGGATCAATTGCTTTTTGGGTGTTCTGGGTTCTGCTGGTGCAGGTTCAACGACTTCCCCCTGCATCTCAATGAGTTCTGGGATATAGTGGGTAGGAGAGTGAGAGCCTCACCTGAACATTTCTACAGTCTTAGCCAATCCCTGGTCAGAAGAGTGACCAGCAGGGGGCTGAAAGGGGTATAAATAGCCTGGAGCCTAGAACAGAAGACTCTTGTTCCTGGGGAGTAAGACTAAAATACTCTGGGGCTGTCAGCTGCAGAACAGAAGAAGACCCTTTTTGAGGTCCCAGATCCAGTTAGAGCTCAAAGACCTCTGTCCATAGTACCCTGAAGCAGTGCAGGAAGCTCCGCAGAGGATCCAGGCCTGGAGACATCAACTACAGAGACTGGCTGGTACTACATGAGGTATTACAGTACCCAGGGGACAGTGAGTACTCAAGGATCCTAGAGACTGTCCTTGCCACCTTTGTGAGAGCTCATTACAGTTACTTGTCTCAGAACTATTCCTCTGTTATTTTGGGTGTCCTGTGCTGTCACTAGGGAGAATACACCCTGAAGGAGCAGATCATTTACTAGTATCCTCTATTGTATTCCTGCTTATTTTGGAGTATCCCAAGTCTAATCATCACAACATTCAAGTTAAATCAGCAATTAAACAAAAAAAAAAGACATGTACTTGTGCCTATCAGGGAATGGAACCTAGGATCAAACAGCCAGCCCAACCTGGGGTCTGTGCTACACATACAGGTTTAAAAGTTATTTTAGGACTGAAGATTAGCTAAATTTCCCAAACAGTATACATTTTTATGGAAGAGCTCTGGCGCCATCCTAAAACAAAATTTACAAAACAAAATTCTGACTTTTGATGTCAGAATTCTATTCTGAGTTTCAAAGTCACAATTCTGAGATTGAAAGTCACGTTTGTATGTGCTAAAATGATTTTTTTTACTGAAAACTGCAAATATTGTGGGACATAAAAAAATTGGAACTACCACTGTTTTGTTCTCCCTGCTTTTAGAAACTATATGAAAATAGCCCTGGAGCCATCCTAAAAATGTATGAAAATTTGGTAAAAACTGAATTCTGTCTCTGAATTGAGAACTCTGACTTTTAATCTCAGAATTCTGACTTTAAAAATCAGAATTCTGACTTTAAAAATCAGAATTCTGACTTTAAAAGTCAGAATTTTGTTTAATACATTTTAGGATTTCATACATTTTCTGAAAGTGACATTTACAAAGAACAAGAAAATATAATTTAAATTGCTGGTAAATGACAGTTTCTGGCCACTTACATCTTATTACGTATTGTAAACTTATTAACTGGAGATTTCTTTCATCTATACCAGGCCCTTATCATAGATGAGGGTCTGGTATAGCTGTTAATAGGGTCTCTCTATAATCTACACCAGGCTTTAACCAACCAAGCAAGCAGCTTGGCTAGCCAGGAAAGGAGGGGCCAGTGAGTGTGCAACCCCCTTACCTTTAAGGGACCCCTCAGATACCACTTGCCCCCCTCAAATAAATGAGTAAGGGGAAAAAGTACTCCTGGTTACTCATTCAAAAAAAAGTGGATAAAGCCACTACACACTTTTTGACAAGTTCTTTAATAACGCCTTGTCCCCATTTTGATGAGGACAGGGGCCTCTTTTCCAATATCCTGGCCTGGTGGCTGGGGGAGGGCTGCAGGGGGGATTTGTCAGATTCTGGAAGCCCCCTTCAAAAAGCCTTCAGATACCAACACCCACTACATGAATGAGTAAGGGTTACTCTTTCACAAAAAATTGCAAATAAATAATTGCAAATTGTAAATACAGAAGCCATGGATTTTTGACAAGTCCTTTATTATTCATGCTTAGTTAATGGTTTATCGTTTGTGGGTTTTTTTTGGGGTACATCATTAAAATCCAAATCAGACCACTATCTAAGATAAGGGACTGGTATGAATTTTAAAAGGGAACCCCATGCAAACAAATGAAAGAAAAAGTGTGGTGTCCCCCTAAAATCTATACCAGACTTTTTTCTTGATGAGAATCTGGTTTGGATTTTAAGAGGGACCTCATGTTAGACTATTCCCAGACTCCTTTTTTAAAAAGTGACAGACACCTTAAAAAAGAGGGCCCTTGTGTTCTCAAAACATTGGTATTTAGTCTTTTTGCTTATATAGGACTTCATTAAATCATGATTTGTGTAGCACTACCCCTTTAAGAGCCACTGAAGATTTGGGTTCCCCTATAGTTATGCACAGCCAGGCAACACACATTTTCCACAGAATTGCATTCCAGAGACAGTTAAACATTCTTGAGCTTGTTTTTCAAGTTTTATTAGTGAATTGAACTTGGATGGTGTAAGGTGTGTATTGGATGCCCAAGGGAACTGCAAACTGAGGACAACTTCCTGTCAACTATATACAAGACTTTACACAGCAAAACTCTTCTTGGAGAGCTCTCCAGCCTCTCCTGGAGTATCACCCCAGACCCAAGATAAATCCTTGTCTTTACCCAGCTGTCTGGAGGAATCCCTGGGCAAGGGTCCAGTGCCTGCCACTTTAAGATGAACAGTTCCGGGTAAGGAGCTAATCAGGTTTCCCACCAGAGTGATCTTTTCCCGTTTGCTGACACAGGGGGCGTAGGGCTACTCACTCAGTCTCTGTCCTGTGAGCTGGTGTATGTAGGTGGCTGCCTTCAGGCCTTTTGCTGGGCTGGCTCCTTTCCGGGCTCCACAGGTGGTCCTTGTTCTGGGGGACAGTGAAGCTGAGCAATCCTACTGTCCAAGTTTCAAGCCTGCTGGTAGTCCCCTTCCTACTGGGCCACCTCCCAGGCTTCTGCATTTCTTTCTCTCTCACATCTTCCACCTGAACTCTGCTGCTGCTGACCAGGCTCAGTCACACTTAAAGGTTGCCCTGGGCCCATGCCAAGCCTCCTGCCTTGGGATTGGTCAGGATCACCTAAGTTTGCAGATCAGTCCCTCCTCACCCTCACCCACTGCTTCAAGAATTTTCTCCAAAATTCTAGAGCAGGGGAGGTATTGAGGTACTGATCTGCAGAGCCATTTAGCCCTGACCCAAATTTGACTCTGCTATTTCCCCAGGCTGCTGCTCAGCCTCTCCATCTAAAAATTAGCAACTAGCTACTCCAGGCTATCTAGAGGGCTGCTGCATTTGGAATCTACGTCTCTGTGTGCTCTTTTTTTTTTCTTCATTGTTTTTTCATTTCTATGCCATGCACCCATCCATTACCAGGGTTACTTATGGATGCTGTGCAGTATGGTTTGTTAGAGATTCTGTATATACTGTAGCCCTACAGAACAGACAGTGCACAATCTACGTGTGTTTATCCACTGCTTCTCTGCAAACAGGAAACAGGAACTTTATTCAGAGAAAAGACACATAATACTGTACCAACACGTTTCGTCACCACAACGTCATCAAGGGGCGGATGACGCCCTTGATGACGTCGTGGTGATGAAACGCGTTGGTCGTGGCCTACTTGATGCTAACGTCAGGACGCTCTTTTGGCAGTGTGTGTCAGAGGTGATCCGCGGTGAGCGGAGATCATTATCAGTTCAGTGCTGTATATTGCTGGTGAAGCTGGTGTCTGTCTGGACACCTCTCTTGTGAGTTGTTTGGCATTTTAAATAAATTTACATGTGTTTAAAACGTACTGCACCATCAATCTTTTTCCTTTGTCCCTGAGTGAGATTCATATATGGAGATACGGAGTTAATGGAGAGATGCATCATGAGATCTATGGCTGTAGAGTATTGATTATTTCAATGAAATCCGATTACCATTAGTATTTACCTGGATGTGATTGAAAAGTTACTACAATTAACACCTGGATACTGTTTACCCATCACTCCCAGAGCAAAAACGTTATTGCTGTTTTATAATTTGAGCAGCATATAGCTCTGGTGAGTCCATCTAATTATCTGGTGGTGGATTATTCACAATTTTATGAATTCACAGAGGAGATATATATTCTTATTATACTTTTTTGATTTTTTTATAATTTTTTGATTTTGAATTTTCACAAATTAATTATGGATATTTAATTATGTTGATATATGAATTCACAGAGGAGTGATATATATCCAAAAAATTTTGGATTTGCACAAATTAATTATGGACACTTAATTATGTTGCACAGATTGATTATGGACATTTAATAATATGGATATATATTTTATTTTGCGCATGCCTTTATTATATATTGTTCACTTTGCCAATAATATTTTTTGGTTGGGTTTTGCTGCTATCATATAATTTTATTGGGATACGGTGTGGCGCTTTTTCTATTTTGATTTATTTGGTACATTTGTACATAGTTGCTAAGGAGTTTGACCTCAAGTTAGCTGTTCCTTGGGCATCCCATACACCCTTCAACCCCATCCACATTATTACCCCTTTATTAAAATCACAAAACCAAGCTCAAGGACTGTTTACTGACTATGAGTTCAACGCGTGGAAGAAAATGCACGTTGCCTGGCTTTGCAGAGCTGTAGGCGGATCCAAAACTCAGCGACTCCTAAGGCAGCAGTGCTTCATTAGTATATAACTCTTTTTATAATAGTCATCATTACATGGTAATTGCAAAATATACTACAGTGAGCCTTGTAGGGAAGTCTGCCATTATAGTTACATAGTCTGGCTGAAAAAAGACACAAGTTCATCCAGTTCAACCAATTAATGTTTCAATCCCTGAGACTGATTAAAGAAATACATGAAGTTCTCAAACACTATTTAAGGAACTGAAACTCTGAATTTAATCTGAATTTTCCATTTTCCTGTTTTCTAGTTATTTTACCAGCTGGAAGGGGACATGTGTCTGAAGATAATTGAAAATGGAGAACACAGAGATATCCACATCAAAGAAGGAGAGGTACAGCAGATGTCACAACAGGAAATGTTATATTTAAAGGCAAACCCCACCCCAAATAAAAAATAGTTTTTTCGAGAATGCATATAGCTTTGTATCACAATCAACAGAGAACAATGAAAACTTGGTAAAATATCAGTCTACCTATGCTTATTTTACACTCACGTTACTAGGTACACCTGTTCAACTGCTTGGTAACACAAATTGCTAATCAGCCATTCACATGGTAGCAACTTAATGCATTTAGGCATCTAGACGTGGTGAAGACGACTTGCTGAAGTTCCAACAGAGCATCAGAATGGGGAAGAAAGGCAATTTAAGTGACTTTGAATGCTGCATGGTTGTTGATGCCAGACGGGCTGGTTTGAGTATTTAAAAAACTGCTGATCTACTGGGATTTTCACGTGCAACCATCTCTAGGGTTTGCAGAGAATGGTCCGAAAAAAGAGAAAATATCTAGTGAGCGACAGTTGTGTGAACAAAAATGCCTTGTTGATGTCAGAAATCAGAGGAGAATGGGCAGACTGGTTGTTGTGACATTCAGATGGTAGGGTCAGAATTTGGCATAAGCAACACGAAAGCATGGATCCATCCTGCCTTGTATCAATGGTTCAGGCTGGTGGTGGTGGTGTAATGGTGTGGGGGATATTTTCTTGGCACTAGCAAGGTGTACCTACCTGTAATAAAGTGCCCAGAGAGAGTACTATTCCATAACCTGTGCACAGATTTGTATGCACATGATGTTGCACATTAAAACTTACATTTTAATGCTTATTACTGCAATTCATTGTGTTTTCAGACACAGTTCAGGCCTGAGTCAGTAGACAGAACTGAAAAGTGAGTATGACAGGTCAGAATAAGGCCGCCATAATACACAGAGTGCAACGGAAGAACCCGGGACTGACCGGAGTAACAACTATACCTTATGTGCCATTTTATTTTTCTGGAGTACTGGATGACTTTCATTGTCCATTAAAACACATTTCAAACAAGAAAAACAACAAAAATAACTTCTGCTAACCGCAATCAAGATTAAATAGATTTCTAATTTTTCCTTAATTATAACAAATTTCCCTTGGTAAGGCAAATGCTGTTTTGGCGTTCCTCCCTTACGTGGCTTTGAAAATAGCAGCAGAGTAATGTGTCCCTCACTGATGCAATTTGCTATAAAAATTAATCTGTAATGAGGGCAGGGATACATTTTGCTCAGGGATTTCTGGTTATTTTCTACTCAAATGGAGTTTTTTTGAGTTGAATTCCAGGCAAATGGCTACATGTATAGATAAAATACATAAAAGAGAGCTGTTTTACCTGCCAAATGATCCCTTTCTCAGAGCACTGCACAGTACAGACATGTCTGGGAAGGCAGAAAATCAGATTTTTTTCTGCTGCAGTTAGGTGACACTTACGATTTTTGTACTTTCCCAGTCTGTGACTGGACAGTGAAGGAGAAGCAGCAGACTGATGAGCTCATCTCTCTGATTCTCTGCTCTCTCCTCTTATGAACATGCTCCTTGTTAGCATATGTAAACATGAGTGGGAGGAAGAGACCAACCCTAACAGAAACCTACAGCCCACAATGGCAATACCAAAAGAAAATTGACACCCAGGGATTTTATGGGTAAACCCAGAATGTGGAACCAAAGTAATAAAGAGTAAAAATATCCAATTTTATTAATCACTTATATAACACCAAAGTGATAAAGAGAAAAAAATATCCACTTTTATTAATAACTTATAAAATCCAAAGATATTAAATATTACAAAAACAATGCTTATAACATACAGAGACAATGGTTCTCCTGCCCCCACATGGGCTGAACATTCTAGTGAAAGACCTCGAACGCGTTTCAAGGAAAATGTCTTCTTCTTCCTCAGGAGATCGAAACTGTAGATAAACAGATAAACCAAAAATCAAAATCAAATAAAGTAACAAATAAATATATATATATATAGAGAGAGAGAGAGAGAGTACAGTACATACCAGGACGCAATACGCATGGCATACTCTACTTACAGACCATATAGGGTGATTGTTTGTCAACATCTTGCATCTTCATACAGTACAATGGCATATGTGTGTCCAGCTAGTCATCAGATAAGACTGGGGATGAGCCCCAATCAGACTACACCCATCTCCACAGAGACTAAAGAGACCTGACTGCACAAAAGGGGAAACAAAGGAAGACAAACTACAGCATAAAAAATTGCCCATGTAACATCATTAGGTATGCATGTATCTCCTGTTAGCATATGAGCACTGCAGCACAACTGGCTGTCTTGATTTGCTTTTTCTTCTGAACCTCTTGATGATTAAAAGGAACCTGCCAGAACTGGAATGTGAAAGCTGTTATGGCTGACTTTTTTGAGGCTAAAAGCTTTAGGGCTGTCATTATCATCCTTTGCTACTTGCAGTTTCATGGACCTAAACCAAGGCACTAGTGCATATCAGGTGTGCTATTGCTGAATTGCCTGCATGCTTGTGATCAGGGCCAGCTGATTGGTACCCAATATAGAGTGAAGGTACACAGAGACCAAGGATGGTGGCACAAATATTATTATTTGGATAAGCATAAGTAACAATTAACCCTTGGAGACAGTGGCCAGGGCTCACAGTGCCAAACAATATGGCAACGGCACCTTAATATCTCGGGAAACCTGGGTACAATACCTCAACAATGTTGGTGGTACTGTAACACAGTCTATGCCAGCAATGGGCAAACTACGGCCCGCGGGCCGCATACGGCCCGGCGGACCTTTTAATCCGGCCCGCGGAGCTAGGCTCCTCTCACAGTCCGCCCTGAAGACCGCTGTAGCATGAAAATCTGTCTCCTATGAGGATCTGTCCCCCTCGACGTATCTGCGCATGTGCCGGAGATCGCCGATCGGCTGCTAATGCCTGAAACTGGCACATGCGCAGATACGTCGAGGGGGACAGATCCTCATAGGAGACAGATTTTCATGCTACACCGGAACGGCGCGGGACATGGCGAGAGGAAAGGTAAGTGAATTGACACAGGGGGGACTTGGGGACTTAATATGGGGAATGAATTACTATAGGGGGATGAATTACTATATGGGGGATGAATTACTATGGGGGATGAATTACTATATGGGGGATGAATTACTATATGGGGGATGAATTACTATAGGGGGATGAATTACTATAGGGGGGATGAATTACTATGGGGGATGAATTACTATAGGGGGGATGAATTACTATGGGGGATGAATTACTATGGGGGGATGAATTACTATGGGGGATGAATTACTATATGGGGGATGAATTACTATGGGGGATGAATTACTATATGGGGGATGAATTACTATATGGGGGGATGAATTACTATAGGGGGGATGAATTACTATGGGGGATGAATTACTATATGGGGGATGAATTACTATATGGGGGATGAATTACTATGGGGGATGAATTACTATGGGGGATGAATTACTATATGGGGGATGAATTACTATAGGGGGGATGAATTACTATGGGGGGTGAATTACTATATGGGGGATGAATTACTATAGGGGGGATGAATTACTCTATGGGGGATGATTTACTATGGGGGATGAATTACTATATGGGGGATGAATTACTATATGGGGGATGAATTACTATGGGGGATGAATTACTATGGGGGATGAATTACTATATGGGGGATTAATTACTATGCTTACTATGGGGGAATATTACTATACTTACTATGGATGACACATACACATCATTCATCTACTCTTGGTCCGGCCCCCGGGTCCAATATATGAACCCATTGCGGCCCTCAAGTCAAAAAGTTTGCCCACCCCTGGCCTATGCCCTTGAGAGGACACTTCAATCAACTTATTTTACCAGAGCAGCATCTGATGAAGGGGGTGGCTGATAGGGAGAACAGTGGTGCAGGCGGCTTTGGCAGACTGATAAGAAGGTCCTTGTCCCAATCTTGCTCTGGGGGCACTGAGCAAGAGGGAGGGTCTAGAAACGCCAGCAGGGGACCCTAGAAGAGGATCAAGGCTGCTCTGTGCAAAACAATTGTGCAGAGTAGGTAAGTATGATGTGTTTATAATTTTAATGAGAAAGAACAAGGCTTTAGAACCACTTTAACTCTAAACTGATGGCTGAAAGCTTTCAAAGATTGTTTATGGGCAGTGGGTACCGTAGTTTGTCTCTGTTTCATGGACGCACACATTTTAAACCTTGACGTATTGATATCTACTTACTCAACACAATCTTGTCTGTTATATTTTCTTTAAAAATGGTTATTATGTATTGTGTTTGTGTGCACTACAATTAGTGGATTTTTTACTAAGAATATAGCTTTGGTAAGCATGTGCTAATAGCGTGTGAAATTAAAAAATTGTAACTACCAATTGGGGGTTTTAACTAATCTTCATGCCTAAAATGTGAAAAAAGGCAAAAAACATCACTTTCAAAGAAAGGGTTATTATTATTATACAGGATTTATATAGTGCCAACAGTTTGCTCAGCACTTTCCTTAAGTTTATTACACTCATATGGGAAAAAAGGAAAACCTAAGATGACCTATAGATAAACTAAGTTCTAAAAAGCACACAAGCTGTATCTCCGCAGGGATAATTGTATGGGTAACAAAACAAACATGAGTGCAGACAAAGCTGATACCAGAATATCTTTCTGACTTGGCCTTCCCAAGGACATCTGTGGACTAGTCTGCCTTTGTGTGTTATTTAGTTATTGGTGAGTTTGATTAGAGAAAAGAAAGTAATTGTCAGGTGTGAGCCTTAACTATGGCTTATAGCAGGAAGATAATGTTGTATTTGCATGAATTGTCTCCAGTCCATTCCTCAATAACACGTTGTGTCTGCACAGATGTTTCTGCTGCCTGCTCGAATCCCGCACTCTCCGCAAAGATTCCCAAACACCGTGGGTCTTGTATTCGAGAGGAGGAGGTTAAAAACTGAAACAGATGGCCTACGGTAAAACATAATTATTTTATTAGTAATATTTTGCTCTATAGTAAATAAAATATAATTTAGAAAGCCAAAATAGATAGATGACCTCCATTTAGCACCAGCTCAAGGTACTGGGATAATTATTGCCTAAGGCCTTAGGCTGAAGGAAGTCCTCTTATTGTGCTTCAGCGCACAAGCACCTAGAGCACTGTGCTCCCTGTTCCCAAGTTTCTATGCCCTCCCTTGAATCAGAATGCTCCCAGTTTGGGATTCAGGGAGCCACTGAATAGAATAAACTGTCATGCACACTTGTGTTTTTACAGCTGTTGTTTTTGGCTTTTGACGTTTTTATCTATAGCTAGTAAACCTCCCCAGCATGTTATCCTATGTGTCCATGCACACACAGACTGTAATCAACATTTTTTGGTTGGGACGTTTTTTGGCTGGCAAAAAAACCCAGGAGTAGTGGGTTTCTAGAGGAGTTTTTTAGCTGTAAAAACACTCTAACACTGAAAAATATGGCATGGTAAAATGTGTTAAAACGCCGCAAATCGGTGTTTTTGGATTTTTTTTTTTCATTAAAAAATTTTTGTTTTTGGTCCAAAAAACGCTAAAAAAACGCAAATGCGGAAAAATGCGGGAAAACGCTGCTAATCGTGGCAAAACGCCACTAAACGCTAATGCAAAAACACAAAAAAAAAAGCTGAAAAACTCAAGTTTTTAACATGACTTTACACAGCTAACGTTACCAGCGTTATTAAAGCATCAAGTGTGCATGGGGGCTAAGTCCTCATGCACACTGGATGTTTTTGCAGCTGCTGTTTTTGGCTTTTGATGTTTTTTTTCCTACGGCCAGTAAACTCCCCAGCATGTTATCCTATGTTTCCATACACACATAGGCTATAATCAACGTTTTTTGGCTGGGACGTTTTTTGGCTAGAAAAAAACCCAGAACTAGTGGGCTTCTAGAGGAGTTTTTTTAGCTGTAAAAATGCTCTAACGCAGCAAAACATGGTAAATCGTGGCAAACCAGCGTTTTCAGACTTTTTTTGATCACAAAAAAGTAATTTTTTTTTGGTCAAATAAAACTCAAAAAAACTAAAAAACGTAAACACGGCAAAACGCCACTATACGCTAGTAAAAAAAAAAAGCTAAAAAACATTTTTAACATTTTAATGTTACCAGCGTTATTAAAATGCCCAGTGTGCATGGAGCCTAAATGCCACAAAATCTAAACAAGTAGATACTGATGTCAGTTTTGTGCTTGGAGCTGCCATTAGGATTTTGTGTGTTTCGGGAGCAATGGCTGTCAGAATACAATAGCTGGCAGGATAGATTCCTCCATCCATCTTGTTCAGCATGGTATGGGATCTGTTGGCATCATGTTGTGTATGTGTAGCTGGCTATAGATGGATCGAATCTTGGCTCGATCCATCTGTGGGCAGGCTGGTTATACTGAAGTCGATCCATTGACTTCAGTGCAACCAGCCTATCTAATTTTTTTCATGTAATCACTGCTGGTGGCTGGAGCCACCAGCAGTGATCAGGGAAGGCTTCCCGTTGACAGAACACAATAGAGCTGTGTGAGGGATTCCCCCATCAACACTGACTGTGTTGATGGGGGTATTGAGCAATCTTCTTCCCTTCTACCCGTGGTGGAAAAAAAGAAAATTGCATAATCTATGGGCTGCTTTACACATTAATTCGTATTCATGCACTTAATATGAATAAATGTATTTTTACGGGTAAGTTCATCTTAAAAAAAATAAAACAAATACATGCACATCTTTATGCAGGTAACAAATGTGCATTTATTATTTTTTTAATTGGAGCCTAGAAAGCATTGCATCAGTAGATCGCAGGTGCCATGCAGGACTCCTGCAGACTTGTCAGTGTATTTGTCTGCTCGTATCTTGTACAGGCTGGCAGATACACACTGACAGGGAGAGAGAATTAACTCAGCAGTGCCATGGTAGTTCATTGAGAACTACAAGCCGACAACCACAAAGGTTTTTTCTTAAAATAGTGACAGCTAGCAGGGGACAAGATCCTTCGCTGGCTATCAATAGATGCAGCGGAGCAAGCAGCAGCTCTGGGAGTGGGAACATGTTACATTTTCTACTGTAAAAACGGATGGAACACATAATGTGTTCCCAAAGGTCAACTTATCCTTTAGTGTGTGAGGTTAATGATGACCCCGCAAACTGCCTGGGGAATGGGATGTCATACTCAAAAATTCATAATTAGCAGTCAAATTGTAAGACTGAAAAGTTCAGCTTTGGACTCAAGCAGGTTATATAAAATCCCGTTAATGTTTCTTAGGAGAAGATTGTAAATCCTAGCTGGATCATAAATTCCATTGAGACAGCTAGCAAGGGCAATGAAATGTCTAAATGTAGTTTAGCAGGTGTAGCCAGGTGCTTGTCTAAGAGTGAGAGTGAGAGAAACACTGGCTGCAGCTGCTCTCTGTAGCTGCTGCCTGCGGTGCTAAACTGGTTAACAGCTATATTAGCAACAGGAGGGAGCTGCTGAGCAGGAAGAGTTGAATAGACTGAGTCAGGCAGCACCACACTGTGGGAACTGTAGTCCAGAAAAGAGAGAGACTGTCAGGGCTCCCAGGTATGACCAGAGGTGTGTGACTGATGCAGGGAAACGCAGACTTCAGATATGTGATAAACAATACAATTTATTAACACTAACCATACAAACATAAACGCAGTGCAATACTAAACATAATACAGTGCAAACGAACCAAACCAAACCACCCACAGATAACAGTACATACAAGCAAGCGTCGTCAGGCAGGCCGGGTCAATATCAATTGGGCAGGTAGGTACAGGGGGAGCAAGCAGAGAATGGTCGGGGTCACAGGCCAGGTTCAGCAGGTAGCAAGCAGCGTAGTACAGAGGGTCAGGCAGAGGGATGGTCAGGGTCACAAGCCAGAGATCAAAACAGGTAACAAGCAGCGTAGTACAGAGGGTCAGGCAGAGGGACAGAAACAGGATGCAGGACAGATACAGGGCCCAGGACAAACACAACACCAAGGCAGAGTCTGTGGGTCTGGCCATCCCTTAAATACCCCAGCATCATCAGTTCCAGGTGTTAGCTGGCTGAAAGGTTGAGTCTCTGATTGCTGGGAGCACCCGCTGGCCAGCCCTGGTACTGTAGATCAAAAGGCAGGTGAGTCCCACCATTGCTGGCCAGTCCATTCCTAACAGTACCCCCCCCCCCAAGGAGCGGCCTCAGGACGCTCCAAACAGTCCTAGCTGGGCAAAATGTTCCACCGCCCGGGTCTGGTAACTGGCGGGATATCAAAGACTGGCACACCGGGCAGGACTCCGGGCAGCGGCACACCGGGCTGGACTCCGGGCAGAGGCAGGCACACCGGGCTGGACTCCGGGCAGAGGCACATCGGGCAGAGGCACACCGGGCAGAGGCACATCAGGCAGAGGCACATCGGGCAGGACTCCGGGCAGAGGCACATCGGGCAGAGGCACATCGGGCAGAGGCACACCGGGCAGAGGCACCGGGCAGAGGCACATCGAGCAGAGGCACACCGGGCAGAGGCACATCGGGCAGAGGCACATCGGGCAGAGGCACATCGGGCAGGGCACTCCGGGCAGAGGCACATCGGGCAGGACTCCGGGCAGAGGCACATCGGGCAGGGCACTCCGGGCAGAGGCACATCGGGCAGGACTCCGGGCAGAGGCACATCGGGCAGGACTCCGGGCAGAGGCACATCGGTTTACCAGGCGAAGCAGCAGGCAGCGGGCCACCAGGCGGAGCAGCAGGCAGCAGGCACCGGGCCCCCGGGCGGAGCAGCAGGCACCGGGCCCCGGGCGGAGCAGGCAGGCACCGGGCCCCCGGGCGGGGCAGAGCAGCAGGGCACCGGGCCCCCGGGCGGGGCAGGCACCGGGCCCCCGGGCGGAGCAGCAGGCACCGGGCCCCCGGCGGGCGGGGCAGTCAGGCATCGGGCCCCCGGGCGGGGCGGCAGGCACCGGGCCCCCGGCGGGGGCGGCAGGCACCGGGCCCCCGGGCGGGGCGGCAGGCACCGGGCCCCCGGGCGGGGCGGCAGGCACCGGGCCCCCGGGCGGGGCGACAGGCACCGGGCCCCCGGGCGGGGCGACAGGCACCGGGCCCCCAGGCGGGGCGACAGGCATCGTGCCCCCAGGCGGGGCGACAGGCATCGTGCCCCCAGGCGGGGCGACAGGCATCGTGCCCCCAGGCGGGGCGACAGGCATCGTGCCCCCAGGCGGAGCGGCGGGCGCCGGACCCCCAGGCGGAGCGACAGGTCTCGGGCCCTCAGGCGGAGCGGCGGGCGCCGGACCCCCAGATGGAGCGACAGGTCTCGGGCCCCCCAGGCGGAGCGGCGGGCGCCGGACCCCCAGGCGGAGCGACAGGTCTCGGGCCCTCAGGCGGAGCGGCGGGCGCCGGACCCCCAGGCGGGAGCGACAGGTCTCGGGCCCTCAGGCGGAGCGGCGGGCGCCGGACCCCCAGGCGGAGCGACAGGTCTCGGGCCCTCAGGCGGAGCGGCGGGCGCCGCGGACCCCCAGGCGGAGCGACAGGTCTCGGGCCCTCAGGCGGAGCGGCGGGCGCCGGACCCCCAGGTGGAGCGACAGGTCTCGGGCCCTCAGGCGGAGCGGCGGGCGCCGGACCCCCAGGCGGAGCGACAGGTCTCGGGCCCTCAGGCGGAGCGGCGGGCGCCCGGACCCCCAGGAGGAGCGACAGGTCTCAGGCCCTCAGGCGGAGCGGCGGGCGCCGGACCCCCAGGCGGAGCGACAGGTCTCAGGCCCCCAGGCGGGGCGGCGGGCACCGAGTCACCAGGCACAACCGTGGGCTCCGAGTCAACTGGGATGACCGCTGGCACTGGGTCAGACATTGGATCGTCTGGCTGGACAGCGGGCATCGGGTCACCAGGCATCAGGTCATTTGGCTCGACAGCGGGCACCGCGTCATCTGGCAAGGCAGTGGGCTCCGAGTCAACTGGTATGACCGCGGGCACTGGGGTCAGACATTGGATCGTC